TTTAGGGTTGTGGGGCTTTGGGGTTTAGGGGTTTGGGGGTTTTGGGGGTTAGGGGGTTTAGGGGATTTAGGAGTAGGGGATTTAGGATTTGGGGATTCCGGGGGTAAGTAGATTCAGGTTTGCGGTGTAGGGGGTTCGGGATTTAGGGGTTCAGAGCTAAACCCTAAACCCTAAACCGTGAGGCCTTAATCTTCAACTCAAACTGGAGTTTAGGGGTGCCGGCCCAGGGGTTTGGTATTAATGCAGGAGCCTTAATAATTACCCGCACTATTTTGGGAGATCCTTATTCTAATGAAACTATAGTATAAAGACCCAGAGTAGGGCCTTATTCCCTTTTTTAGGATTCAGGTTCCCTTATAAAGTCCTTTTAAACCAACAAGGGCACCCTTTTTATTCCTAGGTTTCTCTTGGGTTTCCTCACTTCTCATGTTCAAGCTAGGCAGCTGGCCTACGGCTCCCTCCCTAAGCTCCCTAAGCCCCAACTCTAAACCCAAGACCTTAAACACTGAACCTTCGTTCTCCAAAACCCAACCTTTAAACTTTTGGGGTTCTTGTAACTTGGTAGTAATCTGAAGGTTTAACCTTTTATTCCCCTGGCTTATTGGGGAAGTAAGGAACGGACACCTTACACCCAAAACGGTCCGAAGCCTTGAACCCTAAACCCCCAAAGCCGAATTACCCTAAATTCCCTAAACCCCTAAACCCAAAGTCCCCCTAAACCCCCAAAGCACTAAGAACCCCAATTCCCCTAAACCCCCAAAGCCTCATAACCCTAAAGATAGAGAGAAACCCGCAGATCCCTCGCCGTCCGCTTCTCTCAGGCTGCTTTATGGACTCCCTCTCTTCGACCCGCGGAGCCGCTTGGGACGCAATATATGGGGGCTAGGGTTTAGGGCTTAGGGCTTAGGGTTGAGGGTTTAGGGTTTAGGGTTTAGGGTTTAGGGTTTAGGGTTTAGGGTTTAGGGTTTAGGGGCTAGGGCTAAGGAACCAAACTTTGGGAATTATGGTATATAGGGCTAGGGACCTTATAGAAATTACCAAAATACTATTTTGGGGTGGTCCTTATTATAGTTATAGTATAATATACACCAAACCTTATTCTAACTAGATATAGGGGCTCGGGGCCTTACATTAATTACCAAACTTCTATTTTGGGGTTCCTTATTATAATTATAGTATAAGAATTATAGTACCCCCAAACCTTTTTCTAATTGTTAAGGCCCCTACATTATCTACTATCCTAAGTAGCCGAGTGAGTACACTTTACATTTGTTGGGATAACGTTATCCAATAAAGAATAATATTGCCCCTTTTCGAACAAGATTATCCCTTTCAGAATAATAATTAGTATCCCTTATAGAACTGAAAATGTACATTTGGGGTGGGGGGAGGCTTTTGAACTCAGCAACTAAGGATCTTATCTCCTCTTCTCTTAGGGCTATTGTTACATCATGCTTGGTGCTGTATGATCTTATGTGACCTTCCCTGACATTCTCGATGTTGTTAACTGCTCACGACCCTTGTGCTATTTTAGGGTTTAGGGTTTGGGTTTAGGGTTTAGGGTTTGGGGTTTGGCTTCTGCTTGACCGTTTTATCTTGTGTGACCTTGTCCTTTATGTTATCCTGTCTGTTTCCTTGCCTAAGGCTATATTGCAGTAGACTATATTGTAGTTATGGACGCCAGTCTGCGTTTGGCGTTCAATCATTCGTCGTGTTTCAAGATCTTCCTTGACTCCATCTTAGTGGCCTTTCATATCGTCCTACTTGTGGGTGATGCATGTGATAAATTCGCCAAAGCCCGAATATCATGTACTGGACATCACGTCACCGGCCTATTGAACCCCAACATCGATAGCATCTATCCCGATGAAGGAACGCTGATCACATACGTAGTTCGACATGCCGTGACAGCAGTGGTCAACTTCCCACACGCGAAAATCAATCCAACCATAAAGCATGTGGCATTTACGTGGGCTTTCTGCACCGTGCAAGTCTCCAAAACTTTGCAGAGACCTACGCCCAACACCTCGTGAATCGTCCAACGCTTCACGCTAGCGTCACGTGTGTCTGTAATCAGGATACACGCCAGTGCGATCAACATTCCAAAACTGCAAACATCCAAGCTCGCCCTGCAAGCACGGGAGTTTAGTGGCATGCTGGGATCAGATACCTCAAGGATTCTGCACACACTTGTTAGAGTCAACCCCATCCCAGCAACACTGATTCCAGTTTGACATTGCATTTTCACGTGTAGAGCCTCTGCTATAGAGAGCATCCCTGTTGTCCCCCGACATAATCCATGTAAAAAGCTTGGCCATGTGTCAGGCAAAGATTTCGAGGTTGAGCCGTTCATGTCTGGTGCCGCCGCCAGCCGCAGGCTTTTCCCGAAAACGGTGTGGTTTCGATGTTTGTTGTACGAGCCTGAATTATGTGTACCAGTATTTCCTTGTCTTATATACCCTGGTAGTCCTTATTGCATCCTAGACAGTTAGTTTATAGCTCCCAAATCTTGTTCAGCCTCATTCTAACTATTTGTCAGAGTCATGTCTGACACAGGATTTCGGGGGGTCTCTAGGGCTTGCTTGGGCTCGAGGGTGCTTCAAGGTCTCAGGGTTTTGTTTCTCCATAAATATAATTATAACAATAGCAATAATAGTAAAAGTAGTAATAGCAATGAAAATATTAATATCAATAATCATAATAAAAGTAATAGCAATAAGAATAATAATAATAATAATAATACGATAATTGCAAGAGTATCACGTGGCAGGTGGATGGTCAAGCGTGGCCGGTGGAGTGCCCACGAGAGCATCACCACGAGTGCAGACTTCGCAGCAGACTCCCGGCACCAAGTGGCCTCTTTGTGACAGGGGCTACAACTATCAGCACATCCATGAAATCCGAAGCCACGAAACCCTGCCTGTGTCAAGAAGCTTTCCCCGTCTAAAACAACTGCACTGCGCGAAGCAGCGGCTGGGACCTGGCTCCTGCGCCCTAAACCCACGTGCTAAACCAAACCCTCCCGTCCCAAAGACTCTGCACTCCGAAACCCTGAAGCCCAAAGCGAGGACCCTAGGTTGCAAACTCCTAGCCCCACGCAACAACCAGTAGCCCCTGTATTTTCCATAGCATACACTCACGCAGAAGGCGATTTCCCCCTTCACCTACCCAGACCACCGGGAGGATCTAAAAAGTAGATCCCCTAATTTGGGACCCCAACTACTAAAGGGTACTTTATAGGAACCACTTAGGGGATCTATTTTTTAGATCCTCCCGGTGGTCTGGGTAAGCAGCCCAAGGATATCTGGATCAGCCACCGCTGCACACCGGAGCCGCCACCTTGTGAACCTCCGGAAGCCTCCCAGGTCCGGGTGGTTGTCAAAATTAGGGTCCCCTTTTTGGGGGGGGTCCTTATTATAATACGGCGCCTATTATTTAGGGTACCCCAAAAGGGACCATAATTTAGAGAACTACCCAGGTCTCTTGGGCATCCGATTTCTGGGACTTGTGAATCTAGGTAGTAGTATTAGGGGTACCCCTTAAAGGGTACCCTTTCCTGCACCCTACTTTTGGCTCTCTTAAAAGGGACCTTATTGGGAGGGTCTATATCCCCAAGGGTCCCCCTAATCCTAGCTCCCAGAATCGGATTCGGGGTGTCGCATGGGGCTCATTGCCTTTGCCCCTACACAAGTGGGAGCTGCGGTAAGTTCTCCTAGCGTGAAGAAGTCAGGGCTTGGTTTAAGGGGCCTCTTGCTGGTCGAGAAATCCTGTTGATGATATAAATCCTGCATTATCTTAAGGGCCCCAAACTTTGGGAATTATGGTATAATATTCCTTCTTATGGGTAATGCAGGATTTATCTCATCAACCGTCTCACGCCCCAGCTGCGTGGAGGTGGGTTGGAAGTGCCACAGCTACAGATCTGCCGCTTGGGTGCAGCATGCGAAGGTCTCGCCAGACAGGTTTCACCCAAAAAGCCATAATTTTTGATTACTATTACTACTACTGTTACTACTACTAAACCTTAAACCCTAAACCCTAAAACCGTCTCAAAAAAGAACCTAAAACCCTAAACCCTAAACCCTATTACTATTATAAGCTTCTCGTCTTTCCATCAGCCCCGTCCTGCAATGATCCTCTTGGGAATTCGGCTTCTGCGAGTCCGGCGTCTTCGATCGGCCATTGGACCAGGGTTTAGGGTTTAGGGTTTAGGATCCCTGTAAGGGGACCTTTTAGAGAAAAACCAGAGGTACTTCCCAACAAAATGCTTGGGCCAAGGGCGAAGATTTTGCCTGGTGTGCTTCCGCTGGGACGCAGGGCTGCGCCACTTGGTGAGCACCAGAACCACAGGCGCGAGTTTGTCTTCGTGCGCTTTGTGCATAGCCCTGAACCCTGAACCCTAATCAAGCAGCAACCAGCCAACAAAAAGGCCTCGTGAGGGAAATCCGAAGTCCCTCAGTACAAACGCTGAGTTCCCTTCAAAGCATATCGCCTCTGCCAGTGGGAATACGACTAGGGGGTGTGGGGTTTAGGGCTTTCGGGTCAGGGGTTTCGGGTTTAGGGATTCAGGGTTTGGGGGTTTAGGGGTTTAGGGTTTAGGGTGGCAGCGATACCTTCCAGGACCCAGCGCTGCTTCTAGATGCTCCCTGGGCACCTAAACGGCCCCCCGGACAACTCAAGAGTCAATTCTAGGACATTTTCAGGTGGGTAGTTAGCGTTGTAGCCTTATAGAAGCCCCCCGACCTTGGTTTTTCCTTTAACAATGCTTGAGAGCAGCTCGTGACTGCCACCAAGTTAAAGCCTACCAGAACTTATAACCTTACTTACTAAGTCCCATGATCCTCCAAGTGGGCAGTGAACCCTATAGAACCCTAAACCCTATAGAACCCTAAACTCTAAACCCCATAGAACCCTACACCCTATGGAACCCTAAACCCTAAGCCCAACATCAGTTCCAAACAGTCTCTTCGTCTAGCCGTCGGCTTGCGGTCGAACTCCAGACCGAAAAGGCTGGAACCCGTGCAGAACGACTTCTCGAAGCCTGCATCTTTAATCCGGGAAGACCCTGAAGCAATCAACATTTGAGGGTTTAAGGCTTATGCAAGTCACATGCAAGCTGGTTGTCACGACCCTGAAGCTGAATTCCATGCGTGAAATCCTCAAGGTGATGTTTGCTCCGCGGAATGCCTCAGAGGAAGGGTTCGAGCCTGTCCTGTAATTGCATCGGTTTAGGGTTTAGGGTTTAGGGTTTCCTAAACTTGAACCCTAAAGGGTACCGGAGTGGAGCACTTCGGGCATCATGGAGCCTAGAGGGCCTAGATCTTGTGCGATGCTCTTGCACCCTTTCGAAACTTGGGCGTTTAATTCTTGTGCGCCGTCTAGTTGCGGGCTTCAGAATTTTGCGGCGAGGTCAGAGAGCTTCAGAAATTGAGTCCAGGTTTTGCATACGGGGTGGAACAGCTCAGCATATATACTCGAGACGTTTCCACAATGTCTTGTCGATCTGAAGCTGGAAGAACAACATGTCGAGTGGCGTTGTGACGTTGTATTTTTGGGATTGAACTGAACGGGCGGATCTCCACGTGCAGCTACATGCATGTCCCACGCATTTCCTCTGCTGGCCCTCTGCATTCCTTCGTAGACTCTGGCTTGAAACCCCCAAACCCACTGAAGTTCACATTGAAGTTTGCAGCCCACCTTCTGCATTTATGGAGTCCACATGAGAAGTGGGCAACAGACGCCAACTGTTTTTAGTTGCAGAAGCACGCGAAAAGGAGGTGGCAGCAGTTCTCGGCTGTCTGCTGCCGTAGAAGAGGGCACCCCACTGCAGGGACCGCAAGAAATAGTTGCATCCGGACATCCAGCCACCCTAAACCCTCAGATCCCAAAGGGTCCAAGTAGTGGTATAGTATATACTTTGGGGTCCCAAATACCTACTAAGTACCTACTATAATGGTACTTGGACCGTTTGGGGATGCTGAACACCGCATGATGGAATTTGCAGGACATGGCTTCATGCGGCACCTGTGACTGCTGCCGGAAGCAGGCCGGGACAAAGCTTGCGGCGGCTGAACGCTGCAAAACGTTTTGTTCGTTTGCAATTGGCTTCACAACTATCCAGTCAATCTTGAGCCAGTATTTGCCTATTCCTTTCCGGTACAGATCGAGAAGGTTTCACGAACATGAGAGGCTCTTGGCAGGTCTGGTGTTTCTAAAGTTTTAGGTTCTCTCGGCGGAGACTTTGAAAGCAGGACTGTAGCTTCCTCCATTCCGTCGTCCAGCGGTCAGGTTGCCGTCCTTCCAAAAGGGGACCGAAGACAGCCACTCGCCGGCCCCAGCAATGGAGGGATGCTCAATGAGGATACCAGAAGCTACGTTCTTGCCGTAGTTGTCTCGTAAAGTCTTGTGGAGTGTCAGAGGTTGCAGCTGTGTATGGGCTTCGGCCAATGTCTTTCTCCCTCTGTACTTATCATCATCGGAGTTGTCTTCTAGCGTTGTGTTCTCTGCGCCCCCTTTTGACAGGCTCACCTAGAGCCATTGGCCTTTGCCACTGGCGATGGGGTGCATTTCGATAAGCAGCGAGAGCATGTCCCTTCCTGCTGTGACTTCGACGGCCATCACACCACGAAGCTGATATGGGAGTTTCCCAAAGTAAGGCATACCTCATTTAGGGGTCATTGTACTAAGGATCCTACTATCCAGGGTACTCTATTAGGGTCCCCCATTGTCGGAAACCCCATATGGCAGCACCTTGAAGTTCTCATGTAGGTTAAATTGGGCCCCTCGCAGCAGCTGCTTCCAGTTGAAACATTGGGCGAGAACCGACAGAAGCTCAGGTAGTCCAGTCGAGACTTTCCAAAGAGCTCTCTGCAAGTCCCAAATGAAAAACTTAATTCTCCAAAACCCAACCTTTAAACTTTTGGGGTTCTTATAACTTGGTAGTAATCTGAAAGTTTAACCTTTTATTTCCCTGGCTTATTGGGGAAGTAAGAAAACGTGCTCTGAATTCTTGCCACGATCTTGAACTGGGGACCAAAATCCCCAACCTGCAGGATCCGAAAGGGCCCCAGCTTGTCTAAACCCTTAAACCCTTAAACCCTAAACCCTAAAATGCCCTAAACCCCAAAACCCTCAACCCTAAACCCCTAAACCCTAAAGGAACCCCTAAAGGTGCTGCATCCTCTTCAACGACCTGCTTCTGAATTATACGCCCCGTGGCCGACATGGCCGCAACGGTGCGAGCGCTCCGGAACCCCTGAGCCGACAGAATTCCCCCACTTTGAAATACCAAAGCCCGAAATACCAAAACCCTATACTTTTTTTGGTAGGATCCCTTTGAATTCTAGTTAGGGTGTGTAAAAAGAATGCACAAAGCATGAATTGTGGCAGTTTAAAGATTGAGGGTCTCGAGCGTATTTAGGCTGTCGGGGCTAGCGTTCAGGAGAAACCGGGTCAAGGTCTTCTTTCAAGGCCCGAAATAATGGGCTCTGGTGCATCCTGTGCGCAAGGTGCTGTTCAAGAATGGTGCTTTGGGGGTTTGGGGCTTCTGGGGGTGCAGAGATACAAGTTTCATGTGGCCCTGGCCTCTAGTCCGGGTGCCCAAAGCCCAAATTCAGGTCCCAAGGGCACCCCATCGGAGACCTCACAGACTTGTTTCTGGACCGAAGCCCGTAGAACCTCAAACCCTGAAGCTCGCTAGCTTTGCCCATACTTGGAGGTTCATGGGTAGTTATAAGTGGGGTTATAAGTCCCCTAATATGGGTTATAAGTATAGTTACCCTACTTATAATACTTATAACTACCCATGAGCCTCCAAGTACAGGGTATCCCAAACTGCTTCCCGTGATGCAAGGATCACTGATGATCTAAGCCGCTGTGTCGCCCGCGGCGCGTCTCCGGCACCCTCATGGCCCCCGGGCACATGATTGGGACGTCTGGTTCCGGTAGGGGTACTTGGAGGTTCACGGGTAGTTAGAAGTGGGGTTATAAGTAGGGTAACTATACTTATAACCCAAACTGGTATCAGGGGACTTATAACCCACTCATAACCACCCACGAACCTCCAAGTAGCACCTGTGAGGGACTTGCATTGAGGTTGTCCACCCTCGTCTTCCAATCCATCGAATTCACTTGCCGCCTCTTGCGGCGTAGCCAAAGCAAAGAAACCAGAAATGTAGCAACGTAGCTGAAGGGCTCGATCAGGCTTCCAGAGTTCGGGCTGATTTTACATTAAGGGTTTCGATAGGTTTTGCGAGACCTGCCTGTTGGGACAATGCCTTCCGACTGCATGAGGTCTGATCCGTTGCGCGTCACGGGGAATGCCGGTACGGGAAGCCGCCTAAAGCCTGCTGAGTCCGAGGCGGCCGCCCAGGCAAGGAAGGCACAGGACTCCGACACTCCGACGAGCACGGTACCTGCGAACAGGGAGGCTGCGGCCTTCACGACTGAGTCCGGGGCGGGTGGCAAGCCAGAGGAAGCGAGGCAAGAGCTCTCTGAGTCGAGGCACTCGCCGCCCCGACCCCCCGGGGTGCGGTTCGCCAGCGGATCGTGGTGGAAGCTCGGCGGCCACAATTCGTTACGACATCCACTGGCCGCGCAATCCTGACAGACCCCGACAAAAAATGGACACGGCGAGCACAAAAGAACGGCTTTACAGCCGCCTTTGTTACCGGTCCTTTACGCCAGTTTCGTCTCAATCCGCCGTGCCCCCAAAGCCTGAGGAAGGTGACAAGTGCTGCCGAAGTGCCGCTTGTTGCAGCCTCCTCTGCCCCTTGGGCCCTGGTGGCGTGAGCCCTCTTGGCCCTTCCTCGTTCCACGCGCAGCCTGGAGACCCTGCCTGCTGGCTTTCTTCGCAGGTTGGGGTCGGCTTCAGTGTGGCGGCGACACGGGAATTCAGCCCACTTTTAGAAATTTTTGGAGTCAGGCTACGCTGGAGCTGCAAAGGCCAAAGCCGGAAAGAAGACCTTAAATCAAGCACCGATGCCTTGAAGAATAACATAGGAACCGTTTAGGGTTTAGGGGTTTAGGGTTTAGGATTCAGAAGCTCTGGCCCTTTCTTGGGGTTCAATAATATGAACCCTAACATAGTGGGATTGTAGGGCCAGGGTTTCTCAATCAGGTTCCCTACATTAGCCCTAAGGTTCCATGTACCCATCTTGCCCATCTAGTATATACTTAGACCCTAAAGTACTGTACCTAAATAGGAGCTACACTAAACCTATATAATTCCTGCAACTTTATAGGACCCTGATTACGAAACCCAGGGCCTTTGCTTGGGTTCTTAGTACGAACCCTATAATTCCCACAGTTTTAAGCCATGGAACCCTAAACCCTAAACCCTAAAACCCTAAACCCTAAAACCCTAAACCCTAAACCGTAAAACCCTAAGCCCTAAACCC